TCCTCTGAGTCACTAATTCATCAAACATTTGCTGGGGTTTTGCTGCACACCCAGGCCCTGCGTAGGGGGAAGGAATCAGAGGTTAAAGACACAGTGAGAAAGACAAGCAGGTAGATATTACCGTTCCAAGTGCTCAGTTGTCAAAGACAAACAAAGCTGGACGTTAAGGTGGGAAGGACAGATTTTAATCAGTAGCATACTATTGCAACAAGGTGGAGAGTCCAGTGTGAACTGACTTCAACTTCAATTTGTACAGAGTGACTGGGCATTTTACAGAGAGATTGAAGGAGTAGAGAGGGGAGTGAGTAGGGGCTCAGTAGAGTCAGGAAAAGCTCAGTAGAGTCAGGAAAGTGAGAAATTACAGAGGTGGGTGGTGTAAATACTGATTAGGCCAGCTGTGTCTGCTGGCTGGCAATCATGGAAGTTGGGATTCCATCCTCCCACAGAGACTGGAAGACAGAGACCGTATCCTTCCTGATGATTCCATTTTAAAGGAATGGCTTTCAGGTCCTGAGATTTAGGAGATATACATAGATATAGATACAGATATATAGATATAGATATAGACATCTCAAAGGGACAGAGGAAGGATTCACAACTGTAAGCCCTTTTTGGTAAATGCGGTAAGAAAGGGTGGTCAGGGGCCTATTGTCGGGTGTTATCTAGAACAAGCAGTAAATTCTTTTTGGCAGCCTTGAGTTTTCTTATGTAGGCATTTTAAGGGGGACTAGGGTCATCCTAGGCACGCGGCCTTGAGCTGTTAAAACTCTTAGTGTGGGCCGGCCCCGTGGCTTGGCGGTTGAGTGTACGCGCTCCGCTGCTGGTGGCCCGGGTTCAGATCCCGGGCGCGCACCGACACACCACTTCTCTGGCCATGCTGAGGCCGCGACCCACATACAGCAACTAGAAGGATGTGCAGCTGTGACACACAACTATCTACTGGGGCTTTGGGGGGAAAAATAAATAAAAAAAAAAAACAAAAAAAAAAAACTCAGTGTTTGTTCAAGTCTTTTAATGTGGGGGGATGGGGTGGACGAAATTATTTGTGTTGAGAGTCTATAGTTTTTGTAGGCCAAGTTTGAGGCCTAGTTGAAAAGAGGGCTCAGAGGAGTCTGGCTAAAGTTTGGTCAAGGAGAGAGTCTTTGTCACAGTGCTACCCTGGGGGTGAACACAGGTCATTGAGGTGGGGCGTGTGTGCATGTGTGTGTGCAGGGAGGAGCAGACAGCTTGACTTGGAAGACCAATCCCAGTAAATCAAATGAATCCAATCAGGAGAGGGAGGGAGGAAGGGAAGAGCAAGGGCAGGTCCAGGTTTATGGGGCCTAAAATGTATTCAATTAGAGGGCCCTCTCTAAAAAAAAAGAAACAAAATTGCTAGAGGGCCTTGGGGTTGGGGGCATGCAAGTAGGGGACCCAAAGTTTAAGCCTCTCTCAGTTCACAGCAGATCTGGCTTGTGGGAAGGGTAAGTCCAGGTGATGTGGACAGCAAGAACGAAGGCATGAAGGATAGAAAGGGGACTGAAATAATTCAGAACTGGGTTTGCATGAAGGATGTGCAAGAGGAAAGCAAGAGAAATATCTTGGGATCCAATTACAGAAAGCCTTATGGGTCATCCTAAGAGTATGGATTTTACTCTGTCAGCTGTGGGGTGTCACTGGAGAATTTTAGGTAGGGGAGTGACTTGATCATTTATTTATGTTTTAGAAAGATTACTCTGGAAGGAAGTGTGGAGGATGGGCTGGAGCCGGGTAAGGCTAGTCGTAGACATCAGGGAGAGGTTGCCTACAAGGCACTCCTATCACACGCCCATGAAGACCCATGGAATCACACCGTATGTATATACATGACTTCAAAACAGATGCAAGGGTTCTGACAGAGAGCTGTTCTTCATCAAAAACATTTCCAGGGCCGGCCCCATGGCTTAGCGGTTAAGTGAGTGCTCTCCACTGCTGGTGGCCCGGGTTCGATCCCGGGCGCGCACCGACGCACCGCTTGTCCCGCCATGCTGAGGCCACGTCCCACATACAGCAACTAGAAGGATGTGCAGCTATGACATACAACTATCTACTGGGGCTTTGGGGGGAAAAAATAAAAAAAAAAATAAAAAAAAAAAGAAAAACTTTAAAAAACAAAAACAAACAAAAAAATTTCCAGATTCCTAATTCTCTAAGTTTAAAAATATGCTTACGTATATTTTTGTGGAAAAGAGGCCCAAGCTAGCCTAAGATTTGTTTTTGATTAATCTTGCATGGTATAACATTTCATTTGTATTAAAAAATTATATATTTGGTTTATTTGTCCTCAAGTATCATGCATATAAAAAGGAATAGATTAAAAAATGATGATTTTTTGGGGCCAGCCTGGTGGTGCAAGCGGTTAAGTATGTGCGCTCTGCTTTGGCCCAGGGTTCGCAGGTTCGGATCCCAGGCACGCACCGATGCACCACTTGTCAAGCCGTGCTGTGGCGGCGTCCCATATAAAGTAGAGGAAGATGGGCATGGATGTTAGCTCCGGGCCAGTCTTCCTCAGCAAAAAAAAAAAAAAGAGGAAGTTTGGCATCGGATGTTAGCTCAGGGCTGATCTTCCTCACACACACAAAAATAAAATAAAAAATGATGATTTTAAAAGTCAGATAATTGTGCCACACCTTAGTGTTTAATATTCTGTTTCTACACAGGACATTTTAATATAGAAATGCCCCGACCAGTGTAGGTTCTGTGTCACACAGTCTATAACGGTGTTGAAGACAGCATTGATTACTAAAGGCAAAATTTTTAGATGAAAAATACATCTGCATTAGGCAGGTTCTGCTGCTTTATACCAGGAAGATCTTAGATCCCTGGAAGTGGATACTCAGTTTCCCCCTCAGGTTTTCCTTTTTAATTTATTGACGAATCTTTGCTTTGCTAGAATAAATAGATTCCGTGCTGAGAATAGATCCGAGATCCAGCATCTGGGAAGTATAGCCATCAAATTATGTAATCGTCTTTCTTTTCAGCCTCAAAGAAAAGAGCGATTGTGTGGATTTGGCCCATCCTTCCTCTTGTGCAGGTGAAAGAAAAGCAATTCACAAAATGCCTACATTTAAATGCGACAGTGACAGCAACTATGCATAATTTACTTCAATGTAGTCTAAGAATCTACACGTTGCCCCAGACTGGGGGGGATCTCAGACACCAGTTGGTGCTCTGACTCTCTGCTTTTTAAAGCAGAAATGAAATCTTACCCTGGAGGTCCAATATATAAGAGATAAGAGCCCGCTGCTCTGGTTGCAAGGAGGGCCGTCATGCCTGCTCCTCAAATAGCTTTACGTGCTTTGCAACTGAGTTTGCAACCAGTGATTTGGTCCAACTCTTACAATCTCCACTTAGAAAGTTGATGCTCAGCAAGGTAAAGTGACTCATTTCTGTTCACGTTGGCCAGAAATAAATCTTAATTTCCCTTCTTTCTTTTTCTTTTTTTGAGTTAGTGCTCTTACCACATGTCACACTGTTTTATTTCAAAAATGTTTGCAGATATTAAATCAAAGCGTGCTCTTTACTGAATCTTTTCATCTCTAAGGAATTAAACCATCACATATTGTGGAAACTCTTTCCTTGAATTTCTAAAAAAGTGGAACACATAATCATGTATATGTTCACAGCACCGCAAGGGGCAGGGTGCAGACGCTTTTGTTCACATGATTATTTAACGCTTAGGAACAATAAATCCATCCCATTTTACTGCTTAAATGACTGGGATTTCAAAACTATCTGGCTTTTCAGAAAACAGTAGAATGAGCCGGGCGATCCCTCTAGTTCTCGTTGTCAGGGAAATTTATTTAGACTTTCTGAAAGAGCAATTGGGCAGCTTTGAGTCATTTGCCACCTCTAGAAAACATTTCTCCCTATTTCAGAGACCTCTCGCTTTTCTTTTTTGTATTATTACTGTTTAGAGTTTATCCAATCTAAATACTTGTTTCCTTTCAAAGGGCAGAAATTGTTTCATAAAGAGAGTCATTTTGTCCTGTCTTCCTTCTGATGAACCCCCCTCCTCTCCTCCCAACCCCCACTGGAAGAGTTCACAGTGACAGGCGACATCCTCGTGCTGAGTGATTCGCTGAGAGAGCGGGAGCCAAACCAACTGCTTCTTTGGAGGTCAGTTTTTCAACCATTTATAGAAGAATAGAGGTTCTGAGTGTGGAGTGATGATCATAAGTTCATCTAGGGCAAAGATTCATTCATTCATTCATTCATTCATTCATTCATTCATGGGACAAACATTATGAAGAGCTCACTAGGCCCCCAGGAGCATGAGGAAGTATAAACTGATTGTGAAGGCCCATTCATGATGGCTGCACCTCAAGGCAGAGCAGAATTGTTCTAACAGCACCAGCTCCAGGTCCCCCCAAGACCATCAGCGAAGACTGCAGGCAGAACCAGCATTTGAGCTGGACTTTGAGGAGTAGCCTCCATCCTGGAGGTGGAGTGGGGAGGCAGCTGCCCGAGCAGAGGGGATGGCAGCAGAGAAGTGGAAGACATCAGGATGAGGAGTGGGCCAGTCAGAGCCCTTACCCCAGATGTGCTGCAGGTCAGACCTGGAAAGATGGTTGGACTCATGCCAACAACCGCATGCCAGGCTGAGAGTTTCAATCATTAGATGTCACTGAAGGCTGTCAGCAGGGGTGTGACAGCATTATTGTGGCAGCTGCCCATGGGGAGTGACGAGCTGGGGAGGAAGCCCCTGAAGCTGGTGAGAACGAAAGGCGATATTCCTGAAATAGCGCAGGGACGATGTAGTGAAGGCCAGAGCCAGGGGCTGGCAGGGGGAAGGGAATGGGATAGCCACGGGAGACGTGTGGAGGGAGGAACAAGAGCTGCAGAAGCATCGGACAGACATGGGGGTGAGGGCGGTGGGGCGTCAAGGGTGATTCTCACATTTTGAAATGACATTGTGCCCTGGACTGAAGGGAGGGACAGAAGACAACAATCTATTTTTGGTGAGAAGGTTATGAGTTTAGTGTGTTGACTCAAAAACTAAATCTTTTCTTGTGCACCACCCTGGGGTCCCAGAAGAGAGCGATGGTTAAAATAGAAGCAATTCCCATAGGGATCGTCTGGAGGAAGGTGATTATCAGGGCTCGGAAGGCCCAAGTGCCTTTGGAAATTAGATGTGAAGGTAGCACTGGCCTGGCCTTTTTTGGATCCCCTTCCTTCTTCTTCTCCCTTAAAAGTAGCTGAAGCTTAAAGGTGAAAATGACTTGAAAATAATAGAAACTGCATTAGCACTACTCCCCTCCCACTGCCATCCACAATTGGGTGGTGATTGACATTCTTGGGGCTACGATTCTACGTCTCATGCTTGCAAGTCCTTGGGCTCATCTGGAGTTAGCTTCGTCAGTTTATCCACACAGAGCAGGATGAGGGTGAGAAACAAGAGACTCCAACCAACGGCGGCCGCGATCCAGCCGTATTCATCCACTCCAGAGTGGCAACACCGGGCTGCTTGCGGGCAGAAGTCGACATCTGGCGGGGAAGGGCGAGCAGAACAACAGAGCCATCACACCAGCCCGCCCGCTCCTCCTCTAATATTCGTAATAACAAGAACAATGACAATACGATAGCTAACGTTTACGAAGCCTTGCTCCGTGCCACACACTATGCTAAGTGCTTTACGCAAGTTACCTTATTTATGCCTCACAAAGTGACAGATATGGTTATTATTCTCATTTTATCTGAAGAAACTGAGGCTGTAACTTGCCCAAGGTTATGAGATGGCAGAATCAGAACTCACACCCTTTACAGTAGGACTGTAAATCCATGTTCTTATCCTCTATGTATTATTGGCTCCTACCCTCCTTTTTTAGTGCCCAGAAGTAAACACATTTGGTCATTCAATGAGGGCAGAATAAAGGGAGCTGGACTTACAATAAAGCAAGTCTTTCTATTAATTAGACACTAGTAAAAGCGGTTGCTTTGTGAAGTGCCGGGCTCTTTGCTCCTGGGAGTATTCAAGTAGAGGATGAGCGCTCCTGCACTGGGCAGAAGAAATTGGACTAGTTGATTTTTCTGGTCATTGTACTTCTAAACTTCTGCAAGTATTTGAACTCAGGGCATCTTTGGCTGCTATCCTGGGGATGGGTCATTAAAGCCACCTGTACCAAAGATTGTGAGCCCAGATGGGGCCAAGGCCAAGAGAGCTTTTTAGATGTGCCCTGCAAACAGTTCTGGGGGCCGTGAGCAAACCACATGCGTGCACAGGAAGGCCAGGCAGGCCCTCAGCCCAATGCCAATGAACAGAAAACAAGGAGGATTAAGTTTCCCTCCCAGACCCAGGGCCAGCTCTGGGGTTAGAGCAGTTGACAGAAGCTTACTGAGGCACTGCTCCAGGGTCCCAGGGTCTGGGTGGTGGGCGGTCAAGGTTGAGTTGTTGTTGCTGCTTGCTTCTGGAAGAAAAGACAGGAGACAGGCTCAGACAGCAGGAAAAGCCATTCCTAGGCACAGAGTTCAAAATCTTTTTTGTAAAGGAGTAGTGAACATTATGAACGTATTATAGAAGTTCCAGTCTAGGTACATTGAGGCTTCATGCAACAAAGCTAACCCCCTCTTATGGACTGAATTGTGCCCCCCAAATTCATTTGTTGAAGTCCTAACCTCCAGTAGTGACTGTATTTGGAGATAAGACCTTTAAAGAAGTAATTGTAAAGTGAAATGGGGTCATATGGGTGGGCTCTAATACAAGATGACTGGTGTTCTTATAAGAAGAAGAAGAGATACAAGGGCTGTGCACACAGAGAGGAAAGACCACGTGAGGACAAAGTGAAAGTGTGGCCATATGTAAGCCAAGCAGACAGACCTCAGGAGAAACCAACCCTGCTGACACCTTGAGCCTTCAGAACCGTGAGAAAATAAATTTCTGTTGTTTAAGCCACCCAGTCTGTGATATTTTGTTATGGCAGCCCTAGCCAACGAATACCCTTCCCTTTTCCTATCATCATCTATTCTCATTCAGAGATGATTTATCTTCATTTCTCATTGTCCTTCAGTTACCAAGGGCCTGCTCTCTATAACTTTCCAAACACTCTATTTTAGCTGCTTTCTATGCATTTCTATAAAATGGTTTTTCTAGTATATATTAACACAATTACCTAAAAATCTGGAATGTCTTTTCATAACTATCTTCAATTCCCTTCAAAAACTTGAACAAACATTGAAATCTGACTTTAATTCTTTATTTCTGATGATGATGATAGTATTACTCAGGCAGATGGTTACCAAAAAAATTAAACACCATACAGGCAAGTCTAAAGGTTGCTAGAATACACAGTGCTTAGAATTGTTCCTTGATTAATAAGCAAGGAGCACGATGATACAAAGAACTTCAGCAGGAATTCTTAAAGTTCTATTGAGTTTGGGAGGTGAAGTGGGGTTACTGAGATGAACACAAGGATCCCCAAGGCAGAAGCCATTGCCCATGCTCCCTCTCATACCTGAGAATAAGAAGATAGATGATCTAGGTCCACTCTCTCTGATATGGCAGCCACCTGTGGCTACTTAAATTTATTAAAATTAAATTAAATAAAAAATTCAGCTTCTTGGTCATATTAGCCACATTAAAGCAGTCATTCACCACGTGTGGCTAGTGGCTACCATGTTGGAAGCACAGCACAGATATGGAACATTTCCGTCATCAAAAAAAACTTCTGTTAGACAGTGCTAGTCTAGGTAGATCAAGACCAAGAGACCAATTTTGAAAAATCTTTCTGGAAATTATATTGCTGTTCAATCTGCTTCTTTGGGAATGCAGCAACAACAACAAGAAAGGTTTGGAAACTCTCGAGGCCCCGCTGACTCTAGGGCGGCTTGTCCTTCAAAGGAGCTTGTTGTCACAATGCAGAATGAGTTAGGAAGAAACTTCTTGTGTAGCCAAAGCCGTGAAATTGCTGCTCAGACTAATTTTATGCCACCCACCCCCAAGCCACTCCAATTCTGGCCTAAAGTAATTACCTTGATGCAATCTGATTGTTACTGTAAATTATTTACAACTAAATGGCTCACAGCTTGGTCTTTATTTGTTTTGGAGAAATTGATTCCTCAACATTTTAACTTACTTTAGAACCCAAATAACTTCCTTGGCCGTGACTTTCATCTCCTTTCTACCCTAGAATGGAAGTGGCCTCTGTCTAGAGCAAGTGAGTGGAAAAAATCCAGTTAATTGGATGCTAGGATTAGGTGAAACCATATGGAACTGCCATGTCTATAGGTCTAAAATTGTTTGATCTTAGCAGTTTTATATGGTTCAAACTGAATAGCCTAGTTATAAATTCCTACGAATTTATACATCACCCTGCTCCCTCAGAAACAGAGCCAGCCAGAGACAGGTCCCACTTGGGGTCACTTCCAAAGTAAAGGCCGCTGGAAGACCCAACAATTCAGTGCAGTTAAATTTGTGTACGTTTTTTGAGGCTCTATCATAAGCGAGGCACTGTGAGGATAAGCAGAAAGAAATAAAACACTCTTGTTTGGGGAGGGATGATATTGGAAAATAAAACAAACCCGCTAACATTCATTGAGTGTTTACCATTAAAAGTTCTTTACATGCAGTAATCTCATTTCATCTTTATGAGAACCCTACATATAAGCACTATGATTATCCCCACAATATAAAGGAGGAAACTGGGGCACAGAGAGGGTAAGTAATTTGCTCAAGGTCGTACAGCTAGTAAGTTATGGAAGCTGGAGCTGAGTTGAGGCTCAGCGGCTTGAGAACCCATACTCTGGATTTCCAAGGGAGAGATGGAGGATGAGAGAGACATAAAGACTGGAGGGGAAACGGCAAGGATTGGTGCTGAGAGAGGGAGGATCTGTCAGGGAGCAGGGCAGACAGTGTTTTCAGGGGAGCTGAGGGGCAAGATCAAAGCCAGAGGCAAAAGTCAGGAGCATGAGAGGTGCAGAGCCCAGCCTGGCAGAGCAAGACGGGACGCAACTCAAGCCCTCCAGCCTCTAGGAGAAAATGGGGCGATAACCCAACATCTCCTGTGTCCAGGGGAGGCGGGGGACGGTAGACAGTGTAGGGCAGCTTTCATGCATGAAGGTTTTGTGAAGGTTGCAAAGGAAGCTCTGGGCAAGGGAGGGACAGAGGACCTTAGGTAAGGGGAGGGAGTGCAAAGGGAGGACTGTAAACCATGACAGCCAGGGGCGCTGAGAAGGAGCCATTGAGAAACAGCACCCAAAAGATGTCCTTTTAGGCCAATTTAGTTCCCTGATGGGAGACACTCTGTACATTGTTTTTTCCTCTTTCTTTGTGACAGAGGCCAACAGAGGTGACTGTTCCTGTCCTAGCTGAGGAGTCAAGTATTTGATCTTGGTCTTAAGCAAATTTAAGACACCCCCACTCCACCCCACGACCTCCTGCCTAATCTTTCAGATGAGAAAGTACTGTTTCCTCTTTCTTTTATGCAGGACCAACCCTAGCCAGGGAATCCTCCTCCTTCCTCCTTCTTTCCCTCCCTCCCTCCCTCCCCCTTCCCAGTTTGGCCGAGAATAGAGCTCACAGTTCTACCTGCTAAGCAAGCCGAGTGGAAGGTGGCAAAGACCAGGCTGAGGACCAGGGCTGCCCGGGGCGCAGAGGTGAGGTGCTTCATGCCGGAGAGGGAGGCTGTCTGCACCATCCCTGCAGAGATGTGCTGAGTGCCCTGTGCCATGTGTCCTGGGTGTGCCGGGTCCTGCAGGAGCTTGGAAACAACTCTCTCACAGGTGAATTTCTGCTCTGTGTTTGGGGGAAAAGAGGGGGTGGAGCAAAGGAAGCTTTGGCTGTCACACCTTGCTCTTGCCTCTGTAGAAGTGAAGCTGAACTATGTTGGCTGGAGGGAGGAAGGGAGGGGCGATGTACACAATTCTTCCTTGAGCTCACATTTTGTTCCTACTGAGAAAAAAGAGGAGGACAGGAAAGGACATTTGTGCTCTGCTGGTTCCTTGAGATGAGTTTGCTGCCTCTTCCATCTGCAGGTGTAGCACTGGCTTCCCTGTTCCATTTAGTCCAGTATTTCCTTAGCGCCTGCTGTGTGCACTGCACTCTGCTCAAATCTGGGAATACCTGCCCTCAAAGTACTTTAATTACAAACACGCGTCATTAAAATGCAGAGCAGAGTTTCAGGAAGGACTCGGGAAGGATAAAGTACTTTGATTCTCAGCAGTGAGAGGCCACATCTGCTATTGGGCTGCTTCTTGGAGAAGATGGCATTTGAGTTAGGCCTGGAAGGATGGGTAGAATTTTGACAGGCAAACAGGGGAAGAGGCCATTGTAGGCAGAAGGGACAGGCGAGAAAAGGCCCAGAGGTAAGAGGTGCTCAGAAGTCCACTGTGACTGCAGCACAGATGAGTGCAGGTACCCTGAGGAGGGTGAGGTGGGGAGGTGGATGGAGGGCCATGAGGTTGAGTGTCTGGTGTGCCAGGCTGGGGAGATTAAACAATCAGGAAGCAAAAGGGAGGCTTTGTGAAGATTTCGAACTGAGTAGTAACTTGATTGGAGCTCTGCCTTCAGTCTAACCCACTTATTGAATAGCCCTCACATATACGAGAGGCATTATTCTAGGCATTTGAGACTCAAAGATGGCTAAGACATGACCCCTACTCTTGATCCCTACTCACAGTCCAGCAGTGAGACCAAGCAGTGAAGAAAGAATTGTGATGTAATATGGTAAGACTCAAATATGTGTGTCTTCCACAGTGATGGGGGTATAAACGAGGACGTGGTTGAATCTGCCTGAGAGGTACAGGTGGAGGATTTACAGAGGAAGGGACACTTGGGCTGGGTATTGAAGTTTGCATATGCAGATGGGAGTTGATGAGCCTTTTAAGTAAAAGGAATAGCACACACAAAGGCAAGAGCATTGTCTGTGCACGCAGGCTGCCACGTATGGATATGTGCATTGTGTTCTTGCATAAGTATGGGCCTAGTTAAGAGAGTGAGGGATGGAGTCCAGCTCATTCGAAGCTGTGTGGAAGGACATGAAGCCCTGTGTAAGCCCAGAGCAAGGATATCTTTTTGCAATACAACAGCCCCAAAGAGGCACTTTTTTCTAATTTGCCCAAAGGTACAAGTTAGTGGTGGCTCTATATTCTCGGATTTGGGGATTGGGAGCAGAAGTGCTTTAGGAAGGCTAATCTTCAGGCAGTGTACAAAAGTCCAGTTTAGGCCTACCACTTGGCCGAGCATTCAACAAACCCCAAGTAGCTACTGTGTGCTGGGCCCTTGGGACGGGAGGGGTGTCCGAGGTCGGTAAGGCAGCACAGTCCCTATCCTCAAGGAGCTCAGGGTCCAGTGAGGAAGATGGACAAATAAATAATAACAACACAATGAAATAAGTGTGGTAAGAAGTTTCTGCAAAGAATGGGAAAATCATGGAAGGCAGTTGGGGACTAGGGGACCCGGAAAACACTTCACATGGAGATGGAGACGGCATTTTGACCTGAAACTTGAAAGATGTGTAGTTCACTAGGCTCGGGAAAAGGGAATGGTATGTGCGAGGCCTCCAAGGCATGAACGTGTGCCCCCTGTTTGGGGAGTAATTCCTGTCCAGGGAGCATGGGGTGGGATCCAGGCGTGTCTGGTTAGACTAAGAACAGATAGTAAATGGTACTGAATGCCAGACAAAGAAACTTGCCTCTATTTTGCAATTGGGGCACCCTATAAGGAACTTGTAGATGTGGACAACTTTGTATTTCAGAAACATGGAGGATTGATCTACGGAGGGCAGGCCTGGGTTCAGAGAGATCATCTAAGAAGCTATTGCAAAAATCCCAGCCAGAGATCAAAAGGACCCTGAAATAAGAACTTAGACTGAGGAGAGAAAAGAGGGGAACAGAATCAAGAAGCATTTAGGAGGCCGAATTAACAGAAGGGAATCCAGGAAAAGGATGCAGGATGAAGGCAAGGTTTCTAGCTGGGGAGAGTGGGTAGCCACGAGGCCAGCCTCAGGTGGAATTCCAACCCAGCCTCTTACTGGCTGAGTGACCCTGGGCAAGTTATTTTATACATCAGAACCTCAGGTTCTTTATGGCAAAAGCAATAGGACAGTAGCACCTATCTCAGGAGTTGCTATGATGACTTAATTAAATAATCCACGTGAAGTGCTTTGCACAGTGCTGGCCGATGGTAAGTACTCAATAAATGTCAACTACCATTTCAATAGAAGGGTCATTATAAATAGAAAATGTGGGAAAAAGGCAGTTTTAGGGAAAAATAATACTATTTATGTGTTGCTTTATTTATATCCTGTCTTGGTCCAAAAAGAGTTTAAGGAAACTTACATACAACAAATTAAGCTAGAGAAAATAAATTTAAAATAAATGAGAAGAAATGACGCAAAGAGAAAGTTAATGCAGGAAATATAAGATGGGTCCCTGAGTGGGTTTACAGTACAAAATGGCACACATGTTTTCTAAGCTTTCTGGCGGCCAGTGTGAAGGGGGCAGCATGATTCATGGGCTCACAAGACGAAAACAGGAGAAGCACAACTGCTCTTGGTACCAAAACCAGAGAGGAATTTTCCCCTGGGTCCACACAGAGATGACATTACTTAATAGGACAAACACTATTCTTGACATTTTCCTCACAGTAAACCCCTCAGTCAGCTTCCTAGACTAGGATTGATGTATCCAGTGGGTACTAGAGAGAATAGCTGTGTGTGGAGTTTACGAGATTTTCGAGTGTCTCAAAAGTGTTTGAGACCTGAAAAAAATGTTCTCAGATCCAAAATATGAACAACAACAACAAACCTGTGCAATCAAAAGAAATAATTGTTTCAAAAGCAAAGTTATACAACGCATGTCAAACATTTAAACAGAAACAATTTAATGTTGTTGGGTGCATTTTAATATGTTTGATGTGAGCAGAGTGTCCCTCCAAAATGATGAGAGACTGGGACGGACCTGCCTCGGGTTGTGCTGGTGGTTTGAATAGCATCCACTGGTCTAAGCTGACAGCATCATATCAAATCATCTTAGTGAAAGCAATTCTGGGAAGCAGTGGATGGAGAGGGGAAAGGTAATGATCTGTCCCCTCTCTCCTTCTTTTTAACGTTGTTATTTGATTTGGGACTGTTTTAGATTAGGTATTTTCGAGTCAATTAAAAGTTAAACATTCTCTTAGCAACAGATGAAAGAATTTTATTTTCCTAAAACGAGATGGACTTGACTGGTTTCTGATGACTCATATTCCCAAAGGAAGGGCTGCATGGCAACTATTTTACAAATTTCACCATTATTAGGGTGTTTTTTTTTTTTAAACAGGTCTGTAACTAATAACTCCATGCAGCTGGTGACCTCACCCAATAACTCGCTCATAGATTTTACATCACGTTTGCTTTGAAAGGTATACGAGGAAGTTGCCTTGCTCAAAGCTAGACATTCTGCGGGAACTTTCTCGAGTTTATTCATTTTTTTTAATGATTGAGATAGGTGGTTGGTTACACATACTTTTTAATGTCCAGGCTAAAACGTCTATGGCTCCATGGTGGTGGTTGGGGTGGGGTTGGCCAAGAGGATGGGGTTCCAGGGCCCTCACTGCCTCCAATTTTGTCAATTTGCCCTGAGACCATTCCATTGAAGAAGAAAATGAGGGGGCAGAGTGTTTCTTGTGCTAAAAGATTGAAAACCAGCATTCTGTGGCCTGGAATGGCCTCCGCCTATGGGAAGGATATTTTATGTAGACGAAGCTTCCCTTGTGATTCTGATAGGACCGTCTACCGCCTCTCCATCTCTGGGAGGAGAATTCTGGCCTTGACTTTGGGGCATTCGTTTCCAGTCAGTCCCCTCTGAGGAGAATCATGGCCCTCACCATGGCTGTGCCTGCTCTTCCCTGACTTCTGGCAGAGACGGGAGCCACAGCTGTCCCTGCACGTGGCTTTGTCGGGATCTGTTTTCACAAAATAACGTCAGTCTCTAGTTAGACGTTCACCTGAGCAGCATTTAGTTTGTGGAGGAGCTTAACCTCACTCACTGCCACTCAGTTTTGGGTCTATAATTTGGAGAGCATGAGGAGTACTCTTTTAAGAAAAATGGAGAACTACACAGAGAGTAACTTTGAGATGATATCATAGAGTTGATAAAAGACACGTGAACCAGGCCTGGAGCCCACTATTTGGAATCATTTCTGAACGGGTCCCACGGTGATTCATTCAGCTTGCTCTTAATCCACAATTGCACTAGGGGGTGATGGGACCATGGCCCAGATGGGGAGGGCGGTTAGTAAAAAGAAGGAGACTCCCTCTTGGCTAAGGCCATCTTCCTTCCCATATTCTCAGATTGCACTGTGATCTGTGAACACACTTTGATGATTTCTTTTTTTTTTTTTTTTGTGAGGAAGATCAGCCCTGAGCTAACATCTATTGCCAATCCTCCTCCTTTTTTTCCGTTTTTCTCCCCAAAGCCCCAGTAGATAGATGTATGTCATAGTTGCATATCCTTCTAGTTGCTGTATGTGGGACACCACCTTAGCATGGCCGGACAAGTGGTGTGCCGGTGCGCGCCTGGGATCTGAACCTGGGCCGCCAGTAGTGGAGTGCGAACACTTAACCGCTAAGCCACGGGCCCGGCCCCAGATGATTTCTATTTTTTGATATTCATTAAGAACCATCATATGGCCAATTTTTGTAAATGTTTGGCAGTACTTGAAAAGAATGTGTCATGGAATTGAAGGGTTCAGTGTTCTACATAAGTTCATTAGATCAAGAGTGCTGATTGTGTTGTTCAGATCTTCTACATCTTTCCTGTTTTTAATTTTTTTAATTTGGTATGCTTACTCTATT